GAGACAAATGAACTATTAGGTTGACTTTTCCAATCCTCACATCAGTTCCCTTAATCCTTCTGACCCCCAATTCCCTTATATAAAGAGATGAGGCCAACACCATGGTTTCCAAGAGAAATCATGGACTGTTGAACAAGCAGTCCATTATTGCAAATGACCATGGGAAATTCAGAAATTGACTCCAGCCTTTGGATCAATCTTGTGTGTCTTCTCTGATGTTGAAGGATCTAAGACCTCAACACAGTCTTTATTCCATCTCCATCCATTGGGTATTAATTATTTTCAAAACAAATGTATTACATTATTAACCTTTCCTCTTGAAAATTTGTCTTATACCTTCAAAATGTAAACTTTTTGGATATTTATTTGTTCCCCTCAATGTCTGCTTATTTATGGACACTTTACATCCCTTGGGCACATCTTTGTGGCACAGCAGAGTTTCTGTTGACTCAGAGAAACTGCCAGTAGTAAACACTTTCCTTTATCCAGTGCTTATTATGTGCCAGGTATACAATAATATTTCAAACACTATAAGGTAGATGCTGATACGATTTTGTCACAGTTTTTTAAAAAGAGGAAGATGAAGCTCAAAGAGGCTAATGAACTCACTGGGGTCCTCACAGTTGGCAAGTCATAGAACTGGAGTTGATTCCTATCTCCGTTTGATTCCACAGCTGTGTTCTGGCCACTGTGTTCATTACCGTGACCATTAATTAAGTATGCAAGCATTGTGGTTCATAAGAGCTGGAGAGAACAGGCACTCATGGTAAAGTGTCAAGTGCTAGGCAAATGTCTGTCTCAGGTAATGCCCAATAGCATTATCTCTGTTTTACAAACAAGGAAACTGGTGTTCAGAGGACAAAATGACTTACCCAAGGTCAAGTGACTTGGAGGTGCAGCTGGAGCCTGAACTCTCATCTGTTTGACACTTAGCTACACTTTCTAATCTATTTAGAGCATCAGCTCTCAATGTATGGTACCCAGAGCAGCAGCAATAGCCTCACCTAGAAACATATTAGAAATGCAAATTATTCAGCCCCACCCCAAACTTACTAAGTCAAAGACTCAGGGTTAGGACCTGGCAATCTGTATTTAACAAGCCCTCCTGGTGATTCTGATGCATGCTTACGTTTGAGAACTCTCTGATCTAGATTATATATAAACTGTTCAAGGATGGTCTTTTGCATACAGTTATAACCCAAAAGATGAACTAAAAAATGTGATTTGCTTCTTAGCAATCAAAAGAACAACTTGTATGAAGGTAAGAGCTATCTTTTTTTCTTTAGTTATCATAGGCAATTAATGAAACATTCACCAAGGGAGCAGAATAAGTGTGTAGTCAGCTTTTAGGGGCAGAGTCAATGTCCAGGCTACTGACTGTCCCTCCACAGCCCACCTCAGCTGTTCCTGGTGCATGTCTGTGATGGTTAATACTGAATGTCAACTTGCTTGGCTTGAAGGATGCAAAGTCTTGTTCCTAGGTGTGTCTGTGAGGGTGTTGCCAGGGGAGATTAACATTCAAGTCAGTGGACTGGGAGAGGCAGACCCACTCTCAGTCTGGTGGGCACCGTCTAATTAGCTGTGAGCACGGTGAGACTAAAGCAGGCAGAAGAAAGTGGAGTAAGCAGACTCGCTGAGTCTTCTGGCCTGCATCTTTCTCTCCGTTCTTCCCACCTTCGAACGTCAGACTCCAAGTTCTTTAACTTTTGGACTCTTGGACTTACAAAACAGTGATTTGACAGGAGCTCTGGGGTCTTCAGCCACAGACTGAAGGCAGCACTATTGGCTTCCCTGCTTTTGAGGTTTTGGGACTCAGACTGGCTTTGTTGCTCCTCAGCTTGCAGATGGCCTACATAGGACTTCCCTTTATGACCGTGTGAGTCAATTCTCCTTCATAAACTCCTCTTCATATGCACATCTATTCTATTAGTTCTATCCTTCTAGGGATCCCTGCCTAACACAATGTCTTTTCTGAAATTTCCGAGTTTTGTTGCAAATGTGAATGAAAGTACATATATACAGATTTTTTCCCCTTTTGTGTGTAAAGAAAAAAATACAATACTGCTCTCTATATTAATGTGCAATTGGCTGTATTTTGTGTCACCACTATCTTAGACATCTGCCTAGGTTAACATACAAAGGTTGGCTGCATTCTTTTTTCTTTTGGACAGTTTTATTGTGGTATAATTTATATTTCATAAAATTCCCCCATTTTAAGTACACAGCTCAAATAAATGTACAAGTTATTTGTAGTAAATTCATAGAGTTGTGCAACCGTCACCACAATCCAATCTGAGAGCAAATCTTTTAGGGATCATCATCCCTAAAAGAAACCTTGTGCTCACTCATGGTGACTCTCCCTTACCCATCAGCCCCAGGCAACCACTAATCTTTTTGTCTCTATGGATTTGCCTGTCCTGAACATTTCATATAAATGGAATCATGAAATATGTGGCCTTTGCATAAAGCTTCTTTCACTTAGTATCACGTTTTTGAAGTTCATCCATGCCATAGCATGCACTTTGTTACTTTTATTGCTGAGTATCCCTTCGTTGCATGGGTATACCATATTTTGCTTATTCATTCACCACTTGATGGGCACCTGGGCTGTTTCCACCTTTGGCTGCTATGAATGATGCTGTAAGCTTTCCCGTGCAAGTCTTTGTGTCTGTGCCTGTTTTCCTTTCTCTTGGGTGCATTCATTTTAGTGCAGGCTTAGTTTCAATTGTCTAGAGGTATCATAAAGTATTTAAACTTTTACATAATTGGGACATTAACTTTGTTTCTTCGCTGTCTTTGGTTATTATAAGAATGCTGCCATGGGTATTTTTGTTTGTGCTATTATTTCTGTAGCATCAAAACACACAAAAAAGCGTAAACGTTATGAAGAATACACATTTAAAGTCTTCACCAGCCTTAATAAACTTCCAAACACTAACAGGTAAGGCCCAAAGAGAGGAAGGGAATACTGGTAAGAAGTCAGGGAAGGTGTGGCACGCATGTGTCAAGGGCAGGACACAGAGGCTGGCTGAGGTAAGGTCACTTCCCAGCCCTGTCCTTCAGAAGCTAAGCCCCAAGATTGAGGCAAAGCCCAACATACTTTGCTGCCATAAAGGAGAACCTGTGGCCTAGGGGACCAATCTCTGGGAAGCTAAGAGCAAAATCATTTGGAAACAAGGCTTTTATGGAAGTAAGAACACTGTTCTTTCATCTCTTCCACCAGGAGGAGGAGTCCTAGAGTATTTCTGTATTCAGAGATCCTGTCATACTCTTGTCTCCAGTGACATCACTGGGACTTTCCAAATCAATGGTGCCCACTTACAAAGGCTCTGGGTCTTGCTGAGGGCCTTCCCCAAGAGGAATCTTCTCAGTACAATTAAACCTTCCTTTTGACATAAAAGCTCTATCCTCATTCAAGAACGAGTCCAAAAACAAAAAGTTGTACAAATTACTCAACATTACCAAGGAGCCCATGTATTAAATTCACCCTCCTACAGTGAAACGGTAGGTCATTGGCTTTTGCAAGTATGGAAGTCCTGGCTCAAAGGAACTGTTTGCCCCCCTCTAGGGAATGGGTGAATGTGCAGCATTTGCTTCAATTTAAAGTGTTGATTTCTGTCATGTTGATAACCTTAATAACTGCTCCTTATTTAACTAAGTGCCTGGCACTGTGCTAAGTCTTTTGAATGTCTTATTTTGCTAAGCCTTTCAATAATCCTGTGAGACAGATAAAAGAAACCCTATTTTACAGAACAGGAAGCTGAATCTAAGAGAGAGAAAATGACTTGCCCAAGGTCACACAAATGACAAGTGGTGGAACTTATTTGAGGATTTCAAGAGAATTTCCAGGAGTCAAGATGCAATGCCGAGTGTGAGTAAACTGCATTAGTCTACTCACTGCTTGACAAGGCAGCTTTTGATGCTTAAGAAGAGCATCTACTCCTGCTTCCCATTCCAACACCTCCCATCAGCTACAAGATAAACTCCTGACTTGATGCCATAGTCATCCTCCAAGATGGTCCTCAATGATCCTGGTATCATGGTGGGCACACCACTCCTTCTACATTGAATAACCCACTCAGGAGAAATCAAGCCTCCATGTTGTGAGGACACCTAAGCAGCTCCATGAAGAGGCCCATGTGAAGAAGAACAGAGACATTCAGCCAAGATCCAGCACCAATTTGCCAACCTTGTGTGTGAGCTCCCTTGAAAGCAAATCCAAGCATTCAGATGACTGCAGCCCTGACTGACGTCAAATGTAACTGCAGGGGAAACCCTGAGTCAGAAGCACCCAACTGAGCCATGCCCAGATTATGGATACAGAAACTCTCAGAGATAATAAGCAATATGATGTTTTAAGCCGTTCAATTCTGGGATGCTTTGTTACACAGCAATAGATAACTGACGAATACATCTTATCATCTAGGTCTTTGTACCTTAGCCTCTGGCCATCTCTTCCCTCTCATCACCCTTGCTAATCCAACTTGAATCATTAATTCCAGATAGTTAAAACTTCTGTAAGGATATAAAAAACACACAGTTCTCCTATCCTTACTGGCTTTTGCACAGAGTGTTTTCTCTGTCTGGAATGCCCTTTTATTTTTATTATTTGGGAAACCATCCTTAAGCTCTTTCATATTCAGATATCCCCACTCAAGTGATGCCTTCTTTGATTCCTTGATCCAGATACAAGTCCTCTCCTCCTGGGTGTGCCCCTTGTACATTGTGCATAGAAATTCCAACACTTTCTACAGAGACCCCAAATTGTTTTCTGCTCTGTCAGTCTCTTCTGTAAGACTGCGAGATCCCTGAGGACAAGACCGTTGTTGACTATTGACTCATCTCTAAGCCTCCAGAGTGTAACTCAGTGCCTGGCATGAAGAAGCACAGAGTGGGAGCTTGGTTAATGGGGCAAATAAATGCTGGAGGAATATGCCACCTTCTCTATGGAGTGCCCATTGAATGTGAGTTAACTACATGCTATGACAACCAGTTTATACCTTCTTGGGCTGAGAAGCAGGTGGTCACTTGCCAAGGATGGGCACACTTCTCATTAGTGCAGGAACTTAGCAGCCATCTATGGGCAGGGGACCAATTAAGCCTTCGATGACATCATCAGTCCACACACTTTCAGCTCTGATGAGAGAAGACGACTGCGTTAGGTTGAGAAAAACTCTCTTCACCATCTGTGCTTTTTTTCCCCCTAAGTTTTCCCAATGAAGAGTAACTTCGGACTGGGAAAAAGTCATCTCCCAAGTATAAGTTGTGCAGCAGAGTTAAAAAGATAGGAGGCTGGCAAACTCATCCTCAGGTTTAACAACAACAACAAAAGCCCTGATCTGCAGTGTGTGCCAGCTGCTGTGGTGTCTATACTCCCACCGTGACCAATTTCTAGCTAACAAGGATTTAACAAGCAGGCAGTAAAAATTCCTGGATACTTAACAACCAGCTGTCTCTGGCTGGCAGGCTCCAGCCCACACTGAGGGGAAGACAGCTCAGCAGGAGGGCAGGAGCTCCCCAGCTGCCGGGATGGGCACCCAGCTTGGCCGTGGAAGAACCCTGCGGCCTTGGGCATGTTACTGTAATGTCTGGGTCTTGGTTTCTCATCGGTACAATGGAGATAATTATAGAACTGTCTTGGGATTGTCTTGGGCATTATAAGAGCTAATACATGAGAAGTGCTTAGCATACTTTTGTGCTTGGGAAACAGTCAGCACATGTTAGCTGCTATAATCATAGAACAGAATGGGCAACTCATTTGGAGTGGAAAAAAAATGGATTCCAGTCTTGGTTTTGACACTGACTCTCTGTGTGACCTTGGACCATTGACTTCAACTCTCTGGAAATTAGAGGCCTCATCAGTAGAATGAGGCTGGTGATAAGCCCAGGTGACCTAGGTGGGCGCTTGCTATGTGCAGGTCACTACACCACATTCTCTGCATCTATCATCATTGCAATTTTTGCCACAAAACCTACGGAGTAGATTCTAACATGATCCTCATGTTAAAAGTGGGAAACTGAGGCTTAGAACAGTAATTGGGTCAAAGTCATATATCTAGTAAGGGCTGTTTGAACCCAGGTTGCCCCAAACCAGCAAGCTGTAAGGCCCATTTCATTCATCAGCAATAAGTGTTAAATGACATGGTGCAGCAGAAACATTTTATAAACTGTAAAGCAGTGGCAAACAATGGGTATTCCTTGAATATTGAAAACATACTTCGAGTCTTTATTTCATGCCAGGTGGCAGGCACACAGTAGGGGACATGGCAGGCCCCATCCCAGGTCTGGTGGGCCTACCTTTGAGGAAAGGGGATAGACTACCTACAGCAACTAGCAGAATCGAGTCATCCACAGCAGTGCAAACTGGAAAGGAGTTGGAATTCTTGTTGTCCAAACGTTGTAAATGAGAAGCTAACAGGATTCACACCTCTGACTGGCACAAGGGACCGAGATCTAAAACACCACTGTCTGCTGCGTGTTCTCAGGGAGCTGGAATCCTGAAGGTGGGAAGGGAGCGGATGTCCACCAGGCACTGGGCCTGGCTTCTAGATGTTGATCTCCCCTTACCCTCCCCACAGCCCTGTGCAATGGGGATTGTTTTCTGTGTTTCTCTCTGGACACAAGGGAGGCTCAGAGAGAGAGTGTCACCTGTGCAACATCACACTGTAGATGCTGTTGCAGATGTGTGCAGTGTGTGCCCTCCTCCCTGAATCCAGTGATCCTTCCTCTCTCCTGCTTTTCCCAGCCCTGTGTCACATCAGCAAAGGGGACAGAGCTCTGTATCACCTTGGATGGGCTGAAGCAAAGGACACTGGCAGAGAGGACACGTGATGCCTCGAATCCACCACCTTCTTCCTCATCACCAGTTGCTGGCTGCTGATGGTGCTCTGATTCTCAGAGACACTGCCTCATTCTAGCTCTTCTCCCAGATCCCAAATTATCTCTCAGAGCAACATGCCTGCCTGAGGCAAGGAAACAGTCCCATCCTGTCTTAAGACCTTTGTCCTTGTTATACGGCATGACAGATGCCACTTAGCTATTCAGCTTTTTAATAAAAAGACAGTTTGATATAACTTGCTTTTTCCCTCTTCTAAGTTTAAAATATTAATAAATCCATCTGAGAGATTTACCTTGAATGGATCTCCCAGTAGCTCAACCAGCCAGACGGTCACCCATGCACCTGCTCAGATACCTGTGGATCTATCAGACATGTCTTGCCAGACCCTGTGCTGGAGGTCAGAGAGAACAGGAGAGACATTATTTGTCCTGTGGGGCTCATGGTCTCTGGACCCAGAAGCCAGGAGCCAGAACTGCAGTGGGCTGAAGCGATCAGAGCAGAGGCAGTGATGAGAGTGTCATTGTAGCCTACTCTCCCCAGCTTGGCTAGAAGGACAAGACAGCACAGTAGCTAGGAGGCCAGGCAGGGTCATGGGAGAGTGTTTTTGGACTGAGAAAGACTTTAGCACATTGATAGGTTGAAAGAGAAGTGGTCAGAGGCACTAGACTGGCTGGAGGAACAGGGGAGAAAGGTCAGGCGTGGAGAACAGGAGGAACACCAAGGAACTGGGGATTCTGGTGCGGAAAGGATGAGACCTCTATTTGCCTTCATGGGAGAAAGTGCTGAAACAGAAGGGGTAAAAAAAATCGCAATTTTGATGTTAGTCGGCCTAGGTTCTGGATCCTAGGGGGAAAGGCCTTGGCTGTTAGCACCAGGATCCATGCTCACCCATAAGGTTAAGATGACACCATTATTTTCAGGTGGGGGTAGATTTAGGACCACCCTCCCAGTGCCCATTCTCCTTCACATTGCCTCGGTTCATGCTTATTGCTAGATCTCTCTGGCTATACCTCCCTGGGTGCCCCATTCTCTGTATTACCCCTGAGAATACCATTCTTTTTTTTTTTTTTTAAGTGCTCGTCGGTCTAAATCTCCTCTAATATTTATCCTCTGCACAGACAATTCACTGTGTATTCTGGATGCAGAACATTTCTCACAAATGGCGTTTCCTTGCTAATCATTCAGAGAGGGCATCCACAGAGGCGGGTGAAGATGCTGACCAGTATAGTCTATGACCAGACAAAGGCCGATGCAACTTTTTCGTCATGTTACTCTGAAAAGAAAGGAAAATGATTACTTCCCTATTCTTTCCTTTGATCCTTGGAGAAAACTAAAATGTAATGACAAGTTCTCAGGTCAAAGAAAATGTGGAGAAGAGACAGGACATTCTATGTCTGAGATATTATAAGAAAATTATTCTGCACACTCCGAGCCTTTGGGCCAGGCCTAGAGGTTCAGAGTAGACAATCATGATGACACGTTTGTCTGTAAGGGGCTCAGGGACCACGGGCAAGGCAGACAATTACGGTGGCACAATAATATCCTGAGACAGCCAGAACTACCTTCCTCCGTCTCACGCTCGTCCACCTCCTTGTACTCATTCACTTTCACTATCCAGAGAACATGGCCCTATCACTCAGGAGGAGACCATCTATAGCCAAGAAAAATTATTGGTAGAAGATTCCAAAACGAATCTTGAGACCCATAATGGAGTAAATTTCTTTAAAATTAAGGCTTATAATTGCAAGAGTCTGGAAATTTGAGACATAAAATACTTCCTCCTCCTCCTCCTTCTCTTACTCTCTTTTCTTCTTCTTCTTCTTCGTCGTCTTCTTTCTAGTTAAAACATTTGACTCCATAAAAAGCCACTGTAATGGTTTGTTTCATAAACGTACACTGGGAAAAAAAACACGCCTTCCACCCCAGACTTGGCAAACGTCCTGTAGGGGAAGTGAAGCAGGGAAGTAGGAGGAGAATGAAGAGAGTGAGGCACACATGAGTGTTTCTAAGGGGACCCCAAGGTAGGTCTCCCAGCCTGAGTCCCAGGGAGAGAACCATAGACGCCTCAGATGCATGTTCAGAAACCAAGATCAGCTAGACTCTCATCTGGCACTCTGGAAGGAGACAGCCTTGCAAAGGCTCAGCAGTAACCTGGACATGGAAGACCAGCAGTTGTAGCAGGACATCTCTCTAGGCGGGCCAGACACTCGGGAGATGGCTTGTGGCCAGGGAAAGGGAGATGCAGAGAGCCTGGTGTGCCTCTGTCCTGGGAAGACCGAGGGGTTGTGGATGTTGATGTGGACTCCTGAGGAGCAAGAGTATCAAGAATAAATAAAACCAATAAATCAAGTACAGGTGAGTGCTCTAGATGTCAGTAGAAGCCTCCACAAAGTTGGAAACTGGTAGCTCTTTCTAGATGCCAGGGTGGCATGTAAGGCCTCCACATATAGATCTCCCTTAGGAGAAGGGAAAGAGAAAAAGGAGAGTGAGAAATGTAAATGGATACAAATGAGATGGTGAAAATTCAACAGTGACTGAGCTTACCCTGAACTGGCAAAATTATGTTTCCTGCTATCCAGAGGAGATAGGGGCTCAAAGATAGAAGCTAAGTTTGGTCATAGAAAAATAAAGCCCCATTTTTGCCTGCCTCGGTTTGAAGTTGAAATTCGTACCCATTACACAAGTAGAAAGAAAGCAACAATACAGCATGATGAAATGAGAGTTTAGATGAAAGCAGGAGAAACAGCCTGACACACCTTCTTAGGGGGAAATTAGAAGTTCTTCTAACTGTTCTCCAATTCACCACAGTCATTAATGATGAAACAGAGCCAGAAGATCATTAGAGGCTGGGCACAGTGGCTCATGCCTGTAGTCCCAGCACTTTGGGAGGCTGAGGCGGGTGGATCACGAGGTCAGGAGATCGAGACCATCCTGGCTAACACGGTGAAACCCCGTCTCTACTAAAAAATACAAAAAAGTAGCCAGGTGTGGTGACAGGCGCCTGTAGTCCCAGCTATGGCGTGAACCCGGGAGGCGGAGGTTGCAGTGAGCTGAAATCGCGCCACTGCACTCCAGCCTGGGCGACAGAGCACGGTTCTGTCTAAAAAAAAAAATCATTAGAGAGGATTGAATCCTGCTCTACTTACCTTACAGTTAGAAAACCTGAGGTTCATGTGGAAAAGGATATGTTTAAGTCCATACAGATCGCCCAAGAAGAGTAAGGCTGGAAACCGTGTTTTCTGACAGCTGGCCGAGGGCTACTCCACTTTGCCGTGCTAATAACACACTTTTTTGGGTTTCTTCCCTTTCGTCTTTTGATGGTTTCGGAGAGTGAGCGGATGTAGAGAAATCTCTCCTGATTTGAAGGGAAAATGAACAACACGGTGAAAAAGACCTGGGTAATGATTAGTAGGAACACGTAACCCCATTGGAATGTTCATCTGTGGTTAAGGTAGAAAAAAATTGACCCTGAAGTGTTTTGAGATGATCTGTAAGAGCTGAGCTCAATGCTTGCACTTTCAAGGACACTATCTGCCCTAAGAAGTGGTGGAAGTCTGGGAAGGACACATAAGTAGAGAGTCCTTGAATCTCTTCCTAACTTGAATAGAAAAGATGATTGTGTTGCAGGTGGCAGACAGTCCCTGGCATTTGCACGATCGGTTAGACATTGAGGTCAAAGGTGGCTGTGGCTTTCAAAAGATGACATAATATGCTTTGTGGCAGCCTTTCTTCTTTGAGTCCAAAGTGCTGCCATCATTAGGATAAATATGGGAGATAAAGTTGCCATAACTTGTAGATGGATTGAATGTTGGAGACTAAGCGAAAAAAGATAATCTAAGATTTAACTCTGTTAGGGTTTTGACCTGAGTGAGCCACTGGACTGATGATAGTGCCATATATTGGGATGTGCATTATTATTATTTGAGTAGGGATTTACAATCTATTCTGCAACCTTCCTGTACAAAATCCTTCTCCATGCAGAATAGGCTGCTCGTTTCACAGAAAAGGAGTTTTAGGCTCAGGAGATTGAAGTATCTTTTCTAAGATCACACAGGATATATATGGCAGAGCTGAGATTTTAACCTAGCCCTACCTGACTCCCAAGCTGGCACTCTCTTCATTACATTTGAAATGTCTGAAACATGGCCACCCAGATTAGTGGTTGAAAGCCATAGGGATTGGGTGATCTATTGTTCAAACTGTGTCTCTTTTGAAAGGGAAGGTGGAGAGGGATATTGATAATTAACCCAAATCGACAGGTAAACACTGAGACTGTCCCTGGCAAACCCAAATCAAATGCATAGTCTCCCTACATAAGGGGTGACCACAGTGTCTCCAAGCCTTCTTTGTTGGTCTTATAAGATAGTGTTAGTCTGGATGGACAGTTGGGCTGGCCCCGTGAATACAGCCACAGTGCCCAGAGCATTTCTCTTTCAAGGGTTGTATTACACAGAACTGGAGCAATCATATCCATCATTCTCCCCTCCAGGCTGCGGGCTGACTGCAGAAAGGGTGAATCCTAGTTTATCACTGCTTCTTAGAGCAGCACTAACCTTGAAACAGGTTTGACACTCACGGTTTGGTTGAATCAATGGCCCACACTTCGGTGCTCTGGTTCAAAGGTGAGCCTCATCTCTGCGTGCTCTGGGCCATACCTTTATTTCTCATGATGGATGTTTAGTGGTAAAAAAACAACCAAACTATTTTCTTGCATGATACTCTCAATGTAGAATATTTCTGGCCACCAAAATGTGTGTGGGTTTTCCCTCACATTAAGCAATTCTCCAGTGGACATAAACTCGCTGTCTACTATAGTTTGGTTTGTTCGTTCCCTCCAGACCTCCTGTGGAAATTTAATCCCCAGTGTTGGATGGTGCCTAATGAGAGGTGTTTGGGCCATCAGGATGGATCCTTCCTGAATGACTTGGTGCTGTCCTCATGGTAATGAGTGAGTTCTCACTCTAGTAGTTCCATGAAAGCTGCTTGTTAAAAAAGAGCCTGGCACTTTCTCTTGCTCTCTCTTGCTTCCTTTCTCACCATGTGGCCTCTGCACGTGCTGGCTGTCCTTTGCCTTCTGCCATGGGTAGAAGCAACCTGAGGCTTTCACCAGATGCCTGATCTTAAACTTTTCCAGACATTAGAACTGTGAGCTGAATAAACCTCTTTTATTTATAAACTATCCAGCGTCAGGTATTCCTTTATAGCAATACAAATGAACTAAGACAGTGTCCCACAATTCAATTCAATTCAATTCAATTCAATTCAATTCAATTCAATTCAATCCAATCCAATCCAATCCAATCCAATCACTAACTGAAGTTAGCCAAGACCCCACATGTTAAGGGCTTAGTCCTGTAAGGCCACCCCAACTTTAGGCCCCAACTACAAGTCCCAGGTTATTACCTATACTTCTGAGTGACTGACTATAATTTGAGGTTCCCATGACCCCTTCCTTGTGTTCAATAATTTGCTGGAATGACTCACAAAACTCAGGGAAACACACAATGGTTTATAATTTGGTAAAGAATACAGATGAACAGCCAGATGAAGAAGTACAAAGGGTAAGATCCAGGGAAAGGAGTGAGGAGCTCTCTAGGTGTACCACCCTCCCAGCACCTCCACATGTTCAGCTACCTGAAAGTTCTCTAAACTCCATTGTTTAGGGATTTTTCTGAAGACTTTATCACATAGGCATGATTGATTATGAATTCAGTCCCCAGCTCCTCTCTCCTCTCCAGGAGAGGGATAGGGGCTGAAGATTCCAAGTTTCCAATCATGACTTGGTCTCTCTGGTGACAGCCTTCAATCCAAGAGCCCACTAACAGTCATCTCATTAGAAAAAAACTACAGTCCTATCATCCAGGATAGGTTCCAGGGGATTTAGGAGCTCTGTGTCAGACACTTCCTTCACTCAGGAAACCATAAAGGCTTTAGGAGCTCTGTGTCAAGAACTGGGGACAAAGATCAAAATACATATATTTTTATTATAAATCATAATATAATGGTGAGAAAGACAGCAACCTCTTGAAATATCAACAAATATTGATTATGGCCCTTACTTGGTAATAATAATTCCTTTACATCATCTGTGAAAAATGTACCTACCTCTCATTTTGGAATTTTCCATTATTTTATTAATATTTTAAGTAACAAGATATTAATAACATGCTATTATGTTAATCATAGTGACATTTATCTAGTACATTTATATCTGTCATGAAATTTAACTCTTTCAATATCCCTGTGATGAAAGAACCTATATTAGGTATTTATTATTTTATCTGTTCAGTGCCTTTCACTTCTGGGACCAATATTCCCATCCTAGAGACTCACATCTCACTTCTTCCTCCTACCAGCCTCTAACAGGTGGTCAAAAGATGAGCTGTGACCTTCCTCTAAGACTTTGAATCCCCAGGGCATGACTGAGAGTGCTGATCTAAAAACAGGAATATTACCCACACTAAGATAATCAGACTTCTTTCCAGGGAACTGAGGGCACAGTCCTTTCCTCTCTGCCAGTGAAGATGGGGAGAAGTGTCTAAAGGTTTTAGTCCTCAACATTCCAGTTTCTCAGAAAATGTTAGTTTTAAGAGCAAAAAAGTCAAGATGTGCAGAGTATAGATTAGAGGAAGAAGGAGAGTTGTGATGATGCTTGAGTCCTTGGATCCAGTAGACTTTGCCATGTTAGAAGTTTAAAGGCCCAGTACATCCCCACTTTTGATTAAGCCACATTGAGCTGGGTTTCTGCCATTTCAACCCCAAAAGTACTGATATACTGTCCTATATCAGTCACATAGCTGTCCTCATTTCACAGGTGAGAGAACTGAAAGTGAGAGGGTCTTGGTTCCTTGCTCAAGATCCCAGAGCCTCTCAGCGTCAGGGTTAGGAACCAGAAATTAGAAATAACTTGTGTTTCTTAGAGGTCAAGCCATATCTCTTTCTCACTATGCAGTACCTCCTTTCTTCAGGGGCCTTTTCTATTTGTGGACTTTTCCCTTATTAATAAAAGAAATATTTCCCTTCCCATTGACTTTCTCAAGGGTTATTTATTTTACTTTATTTCAGTGGTGAACTCTCTGCTTTCTGCCTCCTAGGATATCCTCATGTCCTCAGGCATTTGATAACATGGTTTGTTCCTACTCCATTTCTTCTGTTTGATTAAGCTGTGACTCAGTTACTCTTCAGTCACTTGAACAAAATCAAAATATTATGATACAATATGAAAGCAAGATGGTTTCCAGTATGGAGAAGTCCTAAGATCTCAGGGAAACCCAAGTTCCATTTGGACTCAATCTTAGGCCAAGTAGGTGCCAAAAGAGACTGACGATTTGGATCCAAAGTGAGTCCAGATGTTCTTGCCATCTGTGGGTGGTGGGACTCAGCCATATGGAGTTTCCGTGATGCAATGGGCCAACTAAATTCAGCTAAACCTGTGCTCTCATCCTCTTTGCCGTCTCTCTTTTCCACATGGTCTTCTGCTCCAGGACATGACTTTTATCAAGCTCAAATACAGGGCATTGCATACACAAAACAGAAAGCCTCATTATAGTGATTTTTGTGAGTTGTTTTTCTCATCATCTGAGCCCTGTCAACTGGGAGAAATCCAGAAATGCTACTTTGAAGTGAAATGTAACACTTGCAAAAATTCTTCAAAGAAAGTATTATTCCTCCTCTTCCTCTTCTTCCTCCTCTTCCTCTTCCTCCTTCTTCTTCCTCTTCTCCTTTTCCTTCTCCTTCTTCTCCCCTTCTTCCTCTTCCTCTTCCCCTTCCTCTTCCTTCTTCCTTCTTCTTTCTTCTTCCTTCTTCCTTCCCTCCTCCTCCTCCTTCTTATTCCTCTCCTCCTCCTCCTTCTTCTTCTTCCTCCTCCCCCTCCTCCTCCACCTCCTCCTCCTCCTCCTCCTCCTTCTTCTTCTCCTCCTCCTTCTTCTTCTTCTTCTTCTTCTCCTTCTCCTCCTCCTTCTCCTTCTCCTTCTCCTCCTCCTCCTCCTCCTCCTCCTCCTCCTCCTCCTTCATTGAAAGGCAAACAGGCTCAGGGAGGTGAACTAAATGCTAAAATTCTATACCTTCAGCCCAGAAAATGTTTTTGCTTTCTAGGTGCATATGTTCCTCTGGTTCTAGGATACAGTCATCATTACTCTATCCAGTACCACAGAGTCAACATTTTCAAAGCTGAACTCATCACCCTTATCACCCAAACCTGTTCATTGTCTCAGCTGCTGGTCTGCCCATCCATCCATCCATCCATCCATCCATCCATCCATCCATCCATCCATCTACTCATCTACCTATCCATGTATTCTCTATCATCCAACTATACATTCACCCACCCATCTACCCACTATTCATTCCTCCAACCATCCATCTATCCACCCATTTATACATCCATTTTTCATTTATTCAGCTGTTCAAGTCAGAAAATTGAG